CCATATAAGGCTCGTACCTATTTTTACCGGACCTTTTTTCAGTTTTAGCTTGTCTTGAACTCACTCTTTCATCTTTCCGAGACTGAATGATAGTATTTTCTTCTATCCGCGGCTTTGTGCTGTATCTATTATAAACATCATTCCAAGCTGTTGCTGGAAATTCTCGTAAGCTTTCTTTGAGTCTCCTCGTAGCTTCCGAGCTTTTTTCATTTAGATTACTGGCAAAGGCCATAGCCGCCCAGTTATCCGGTGCACGTGGCAACATCATCCTTTCACAATGGAATCTGTCTATGAATTCCCTAAGCGGCTCCGTATCTCTTTGTTTTATTTTGAAAATGTCCTCCATTCGCTTTTCAACTTTTTGAGCTCCCAAGTATGCTTTGATAAATGAATCTGCAAGCTTAGCAAAAGAATCAATAGAATTTTCACGTAAAAGAGAGTACAATGTCAATGCTCCCTTCGTGAGTGTTTCTTCGAATTTTTTGACCAACACTGATTCAATTTCTTACTTGGTCAAATCATTGCCCTTTACACCAGTTGTAAATTCAGTTACGTGATCCCGTGGATCAGTTGTTCCATCGTATTTCGGAATATCAGGCATCTTGAATTTTTTGGAATTGGTAAAGGAGCGGCACTTGGCTTCCAAGGTTGTTGAGAGTATTTGTCCGTATCTATTCCCTTGATTACGGGCGGCACTCCAGGTATCTGCTCTATGCGATCGCTCTGCTCCTTGAGATGCTTTTGCAAAGTTAGTACTAAACTTTATAAATCAGAATTAACTGGGTTACCTGATCCTCCATCATGAGATTCGTTGGGAGTTCCTCCACTGCCTGAGTTAACGAGTCCTGAGCGAGGATTTTCCATGGTGTTGTTGTTTGGAGTTGGTGTTGGTGGTATAACCGACAACTGGTTAGCAAAAGCCTGAAGAGAATTACTGACCTGTTGAGCAATTAATTTTTTCAAAGCTTCATCAATAGCTTGATCATTCTCAAACTGCTCGTCATATTTGATTCAGATCCGTCAGGAGTCCCTTCTCGGGATTGTCGAGGAGAGTTTCGTTGTGAAGGGACTGGAGTTCCATCGCCTTGTTGATTTTCCTGATGTTCCTGATTTTCTTGGTGCTGTAAATTTTGTTGGTTGTTGTCGTTGACATTCGACATGATTATTTTGACAAAAGAGTTGATTTAGAAAGTAAAAAATTATCAAATTCCCGGTAATAGAACCAATTTATTTAACCAGAAAATAGGAATTTCAGTCAAAGCTTAATTTTAGAAGAACCCGGGTTACTGATAATCAAATAAAGAAATAATTATGTAATGAAAAAGAAAAATTGAATTGAGAAGTAGCCGAGTAAGCAAAATAAAGCATTGTAAATCAATATATTCCAATAATAATCAGTGTCTACATACAAAATGTTATTTCTCTCCTTTTATAGCTATTTCTAAGTACTACGTTTCTTTTTTCTCATAGTAAAGCCATTGCGAGCAATTAATGACATTAATGAAATGTTATAATTGACAATCATAACTGTTTCGTAAAGATTCTATAATGTTCCCCATCATTTATGCTCATTAATTGCAGATAATATGTATCTGTACTTTTTTGTTATCTTGGTTCATTCCACTGATGTCTCTTCAGATTATCAAGAGGTCCGAGTAACCGTTCTTTCTTGTTTTCTTGAACCTTTGCCCGTACCTATTAAGGCTCGCGTCTCTTTGTGTACTCTTTGCCAGCTATTGCTCTTTTATTGATCCATATGTCTTGACATGTCAGCCACATAATTAATTCCAAATGTCAACTCGATTTTCCCCAATACAATCGTGAGCAATTGTTTACCGCATAATAATTTTTTCATCCCAAGTTAGGCTCGCAATTAAAATAATACTTGTTGTATTAAATAGAAACGGTTTCAAATAAATTTACTTTGTAAAGAAGTTGAGAATTGTTCAAATAATAATGGAACCTAAGCTTACTTAGTAGTAATACTTAAATAATGAAAGGATAGTGATTAGGGTAGAGAATTTCATACTTTTAAATAACAGTAGTCTTAGTGTACGCGCGTTGCGCGTGTAAATCATCACATAAATATTATATTAAAGTTATGTTTAAATGATAAAATATTATGTGTAAGCTCTGTAAATAATAACATTGGACCTAAATAGGTAACTCGAAAAAGGGAGAAACTTTATCACATAAAAGTTCTCAATCACCATTCAATGTAATCACCTTAAATTTTGTGTCAATTTTATAAGTTTGTTGCTTCAATTTCACAAGTTATCAAATTATTCAATTTTAGTTTAGCTAAGACACATAGCCCTCGAATATTTAAGAGTTTTTGTGCAAATATTTTTAAGAAGTTGTACTCAAGTTCATTCGAGAATACACAAATATGATCAAGTATACTTTTATTATGATGTAGTTATTGGAAGGGGTCTAATTAAACGACACATGGCAAGTGTAAAGTTAAAAAATAATGATTTATAATGTAAATACCAGGTGTGAGAACCGTTAATGAATAATGGCACAAATGAACCAATAGTGTAACAACAGTGGCATGAATACATCCCATTTTTAACGGGTGACGTAGATATGCCATTTTTTAAAGTTTGATAGCATATTTGAGCCTTTTCCGTAACTCTAAATTGACAATTGAATCTTTTGTTCTTTAAAATTTGTGAATAAGAGGTGGTGCTATAGCTCATAGAAGAAAATTGATAAAATAAAAATATGAAGCCTAAAAGTGACTAATATTGAGTTAATATTTTACAACAAGTTATTGTTTGTTAGGATTAATGCAAAAATAAAAAATAATTAATAACAACTCATTTAGGATATATTTTGTCTCTACTATTTCATCATTGTTACATCAAGTTAGGCACTTTTATCAATTTGGGTATTAATACTATATTAAGAATTTTTTTCAACTTAAAAAATAATTCTTTTTATATGATGAATTTAAAAAGAATTGAGTAAGTTTTTTTGTCTAATAAGTTGTTTCAAAAACTTAATAATTTGTTACTAAAGAAAATAATTTATATTTTATTATTTAAATATTAATATAAAATCCTCCCCAATTTTAAATATTTAACTGTAAATAACTTTATCTATTAAGAGTTATATTTCCAAAGGGTACAAATAAATATATTCCTCACATTTTACTTTTAAATCTTTGTTTTGTAGAATTATTTGTGTTATTGACTTTTATCAACCATGCCTTTTCTCTCTCTTTTATAAATTTTTAATTTTATTTATTTTTTTATTTATATTATTGAATGTAATTTTCTAATATCATACAAAAAATAGATGAACAAAAAAAATATTATTTAAGTAGGAGACTAAAAGTTATAAATGAATAAACGACATGTTTGGTTTAGACTACTCTTTCCAAGTATTCAAATAGATGACTCTAAAATCTGTACTCAGAACTAATTATTGTGTTTCACCTAAATAAAATTTATTTATTTACCAAAATTGTGATGTTATTAAAATTAAAGAAGACCAGCTGAATGATATAGACATGATGTTTATTATTTTTGAGCCTAACCTAAGTCAATATAATACATCAAATAACTGTAGACGGAAGAAACTAAGCCTAAACAAATAACAAAGCAAATTAATTGTGAAGTAAAAAATAACTTGATTGTAAATTTTCTAAATATTAGTAGTTCTTATATAATTTAAATAAGGAAAGATTTAGTAATCCAAATTTTAGTATTTTAAAGTGTTAAATATTTGAAAAATAATAAATGACTATTCCTAAATATTAGGAAAATGATCAAATTACTATTTTATCTAATATGAACTCTATTTTAAAAGGGTAAAAAAAGCGAACGACATTTCGTTAAGGGCCTTCGTGCTTTTAATATAATAATATAGATAAGTAGAAAATTATAGGATGCTTAAGATTGTTATTTTACTTGCATCATAATCCTCAGCCAGTTCATTCGTACTGTGCAGAAGACATTAATTGCTTTGACTTTAATTTGCAATATCAAATTGATGGTACCATATGCTCCCACCCCTGCGTAGAGGGGGTGGCTTGAATTGCAAGAACCATTTTAAATTCGAAAATTCTTCTCTCAAATTGCAAAAACTGCAGTAATATACATGCAGATTTCAAAATTAAGTCTAAATACAGAGAAGAAGAAATTTATTGGAAGAAATTGAGAAAGAGAAATGAAAAAGAAAAAAGAGATTGAGCTCTTTGGATTCTGAATTCTGACCATGAAATATGCATGTGAAAGCTGACATCGTCGATTCTCAGCCATTAACTGACTGCGTCATTTAAATTGTACAGTGAATATTAAGCCGCACTAAAAGGGGGGAAAATCTAGCAAGAAAAAAAGGTTTTAAAAAAAAAAGGAGAAAAGAAAGTAGCAAGTGGTAATATCGCGGCTACTACCCCTGGTAATTAAAGGAAATAGCATGCTGTATTGTTTACTGCTCTTAAATTTTTTCAGATGGCTCACGTTCCTGTATTCAAATCTCTCAACACTCAACATTCAACATTCACAATCCCAATAAAACTACACATCCAACTCAACCTCTACTATCTTTATACTACACATACTACCTTTTTTGGTAAAAGTCATACTTCCTATATTAAAGGCAAGAAAAAGAAGTGTAAATACATTTAGTAAGAAAGAGTACAGATAAAGTCTAAGAATTTAAATTGTGATATTGTGATTCAAACTGCAATGTTACGACCCTAAAGTCTATGGTTTTCCTTATTAAATATGTTTTAGTAAGTTTAAATTTTGTGTATTAACATTGGAAAAAATATTTACACAATTGAGTTACTTATAAAATAATTACAATAAGTATTTATTAATAAAGTTATTACTAATTGCTACTTCCAATGGAGCCACCTTTGTCCAAGAGGCGTCCCTTCGCTGGAAATTATATATATATATATAGACATAAGTTTCTCTGCACGTGTGTTTTATATCATTTTTATAAACTATATATACTAAAGTTTGTAAATTCATACATATTCGAAAAACACTGTATTATTATAAATTACAATTTGAATATACCAAAAGCTAGCATTACCTTAACATAGATCTTTTATTAATAGAGTCAAAAAGAATACTCTTCGACAAACTCTATCTCCATTCTGGTAGCCAGCACACTATCAATTAGATTTTGGCATATCCTCCTTGAAGTTTGATTGCTCAAGCAGATAATGTTGAAAGAAGCATTCTTTGATCAACTATCTTCTCAACATTTTTCAGCCGTAACCATACCGATTGTGCTTTGGAATAATTTTCTTCTCAAGGTTGATTGCTCTTTTTTGAAATATTCAAGTCTCACTTTTTCTATTTCTAGGAACATGCCGTGCACAAAATCTCCAATTTCATCATATACACCTATAAATAATATTGAATTATAGACATTAGTAAGCATTAAAGTTTAAATTTCATAAGTGATATGAAAGATTGGGTTCCATTAGTCATTTTTTATCTAGTTAATGAAAATTCGGTAATCAAGTAAAATAAAGTTAAGGGAAAAGATTTAATTTCTTATTTTTCAATAAAATATTAGAGCTTGATGTCCTCCTCGGATAACCATGGTCCTTTCCTTACATTAGCCTTATCAAGAAAGTTCTCCTTTCTCTCCCCCGTGTAGCTACTAAATTAGACTTAGATAAAAACAACATAAGTTCAACCAAGAAACATTTATCAGATGTGAAAATAAATTGATATAGGACTTAGATAAGAAAGCATTAAAGAAATTAATACATTTATCAAACTGATGATACTTAATTTAGTGTTGCTTTGTCCCTCTACTTTCCTGAAATGATTCAGATATAGTAAAAGTGTATTACTCCAATTTGTAAGAGGTATATTATCTATATTAATGTAATTTAAAGAATGCAAGAGACTGAAAGTGTAGGATGGTGACTCATAAAATTGTACGTGTAGATATATATGTGTGTGATTTCATCTTTCTCAAATATATATATTTAATCTTATCTGTAAGAGCAAGAAGTAGATAATAGCAAAGTTATAAGTCCTATGACAACATTATTCATCGGACCTCCATATTTAAAAACTACTTATGTTATGAAAGGTTTTACTACAAATTTTTTTGATACTTGGTTGAGTATAAATACTCATTTTTTAATTTAAAACAAGTAACATTCATAAAACTACATTAAAATTTATTAAACTATAATACTGAAACTATTTTGGAATAACTATTTTCAAGAAATTTATTATTTGACTCGCCAAAAAAATATACATGTATCAATATTTTTCTCTAAGTTATGATTAGAAGCATATAATCTTGGCGGTCAAAGGATTCAATTATTATGTGATGGTTTCAAGTGATGGTGATACGGAATTAACATCACGTTCGAATTCTCTTGAAAAGTTATATCAATAGAATGAACTTACAATCCGACTTCGGCGGAGATAGATATCGTTAAGGATTTAGCCGGAAAATAGATGGAGGGAATAGTAGCGACGACAAAGATCTGACCATCAAATTAAAATGGGGAAAACTGTGAGAAAAAGATAATTAATAAAAAATATGACAGTTTGGTAAATAAGATCGGCAAGGGGGTAAACCTGTTAGGTTAACAGAGAAGATCCAAGATTGAGGAAAAAGTGTCATCGGCTTCTGACTTTATAAACAAAGGAATAAAACGATGCAACAGTTCAGGATGGTGATTGTTAGAAGGAAGACTCTTCGAACAGGCGTATAGTATTTTAGACTCTTTTTTTGTTCAATTTAAGAGGATAAGGGTAAATTAGTAATTTGAAGGAGCTTTCACTTTTATAATATATATATATATATATATATATATATATATATATATATAT